AGTTCCTTTACATCTATTTTAAAATAAGCCTTTAGTAAACTTCGTGCAGGACTGTGAGTACAAGCCATAAGTCTTCCCCTCATCTTGGGAAAGGCAAATTGAAGGGAGAGGTAAACAAGTAATCTCTATAGAGTCTTACAAGAAATGCACTTGACTGAAACTTGTTTGCTGCTCAGGCAAGATAACGTTGTGAAAGACAGAAGAAGACACCCTTGTCTTTGTAGGTTCCAACTTTGGAATCTAATTAGGATTATGAGAATCATTGCTGTTATTTTCCTTTCTTAAAATGATATACAAATAGCCACCTAATATACTTTTCCCTCAGTCTCAATCAGTCTCTCACGTGTCCTTCGTATGCCCGAGTTGCTCCTTCAGCAGTCAAACCCCCTGTTCCTTATCCTAACAGCTTTGACAGTTTACTTCTGCTCCCTCAGGACCAAACTACAGAACAAGTACAGAATTTGGAGACAGCATCAAATCAAGTGATCTACTGAATGATTCAGTATAGTAAGATTCAAGTCTTATTCAAATCTTATTCATATCAAGTCCCCAGGTTCAGTAGGTAGAACTGGGACTGCACTGGGAGAATTATATATGCATCCGATAGCCTTAAGGGTCTGCTTTGGACACTGTTGGAGATGGTGCTGAATAGACACTTGGACTGACAAAATACTGCACATTCGGTGATCTTACTTCACGTTTCCCAAACCACAAGGACATGGTATGACTGATCCAGAGACAGAAAGCAAGGGGGCTTTGGTGATGCTGGAGTGAGCTCTGTGCTCAGCTGTGCCACGTGAGCAGTGGGTACATTCCCAGTACCACTACGAGGAGCAGGTACTGCCACTCCTGTCACCACGTGGATGTTTCCTTGTTTTTTAGAAGGGTAGGGAATATCAGTTCATGCAGCATTATACTCAACCTGATCCCACTAAACAGCACAGATTGTACTGGTCCATCCACAGAGCCCAGCTACAGAACTGGGAAAGCAGCACTTGCATGGCCATTGGACTTCCCTTCATCCTGCCTAGATGAGAGTCCTGTATCTTCCCTGCCATGAGAGGCAGACCTTCATGGGCTAAGATAACACAAAGGCTTTGTGAGTTGATTTAATTGCAGTCTGGCATATCTCTTAGAGAAGAGGTTTATGAATAATAAATGTACCTCCATTAAAAGCAAGATCAGGTTTTCCTCTGCAGCTATTTCAGTTACAACCAGTTCTCCATTATTTCTTTTCCCCCAATTGCTTTTATTTTTAAGATGTGGGGATTTATTTTCCATTTATAAAATCATCATACACAGAAATGCAAGTCAGGAGTTACCAAAGCCATATTTTGATATATGCCATAACCACCTCAGGTGGTATTGAGCAAGTATATAAGGGAATGGTTTGGAGAGATAGGTTCAGTATTCAAAGTGTGTTCTATCCCCTCTTTTAGAAGATGCCCATGGCAGGGGGGTGGAACTAGACGATCTTAAGGTCTTTTCCAACCCAAACCATTCTATGAGTCTATGATTCTGTGGAGGGCAATATCTTAGTGTCGTTACTACTAGACGTTGGTGTGTAAGAAAAGTTTTGCAGCAGGGGTAGAAAACAAGCTGGATCATGGCAGTCAGGAATAGCTGGGATTCAAATTTTCCACAGCAGTTCAACAGACCATTCTTCCACTTTATGGGCTTCAGAATCAGTTCAAAAAGACCCCGCTTGTTCTTTAATTCTTCATCACAAATGCTGAACCATTTCACTCACTCCTGAGTCGATAGCACTGTACATTTCTGTAACATACTCAAATCCAACAATCCCTTTTAAGTTCAGACATGAAGTGAAAAATAAACCAAATAACTTTATTCATGGAGATAATCCTGCACTCGTTGCATACCAAACGCTCTGGGCATGTCTAGCTGCATCTTTCTGAGGTGCGGTTCATTGCCATACGCCTCCAGTGAGGCTGAAGTCGTTTGGGTGTTTTAATGTGAGTTAGCTCCTTTCAAGCCCCGATTTATCAAAATCAGATGTATATTGGATTATTTTTCTTTGCATCTTCTGCGTCATGGGTGTGATTTACCATTGTCACACTGATGGTGTGTTAGATTTTTGCAAACCTTTGCAAGAGACAGGCATTTTTCAAAGTCATCTCGCTGTAGGAAATTAAAACCGGGGACAATTATAGCAAATTCCAGTGGAAAGAGCAAATGCATTATGGAAAAAGCAATAAAAGCATAAAAATATTCAAGTAAAAGTCACTTCACAGCAGCCTCTATGATTCAATTGTAGATCAATATTGTGTAGTTAATGCATTAGCAGTAGAGCATTAATTTGCAATTACCGCAGGTGATCTGATTCTCTGGGTTCTGTCCATTGACATAAATGACCTTTTGTTGAAAGAGATTCTGTACTCATTACTTCTAGCAGATATAACAGAAAACAAAGGTGGATCAAAGGGGTACTTCCTTCAGGAAGTGTATTTCAGTATACTTGTTTCCTGGTAAAGTCTCTTAACGTTACATTCTGGAGTGGAATACTTTTGTTCATCTGGAATATTGGTCAGGCAGGGACACCTTCCACTAGAGCAAGTTGCTCCAAGCCCCTGTGTCCAACCTGGCCTTGAGCACTGCCAGGGATGGGGCAGCCACAGCTTCTCTGGGCACCCTGTGCCAGCGCCTCAGCACCCTCACAGGGAAAAACTTCTGTCTTAGATCCAACCTGAACTCCCCCTGTTCCAGTTTGAACCCATCACCCCTTGTCCTATCGCTCCAGTCCCTGATGAAGGTCCCTCTGCAGCATCCTTGTAGCCCCCTTCAGACCCTGGAAGCTGCTCTGAGGTCTCCAGCAGCTTCTCTTCTCCAGGCTGCATGGTTCTCAGCCTGTCTCCATACAGGAGCTGCTCCAGCCCCTGCTCATCCTCGTGGCCTCCTCTGCACTTGCTCCAGCAGCTCCATGTCCTTATGCTGAGGACACCAGCCCTGCACCCAGTGCTGCGAGTGGGGTCTCACAGAGCAGAGCAGAGCAGAGGGGCAGGATCCCCTCCCTGACCTGCTGCTCACACTCCTTTTGGTGCAGCCCAAGATACTTGCCCTGAAAGGGATGTAGTATCTTTCAGCCCTGTGGTGCTGTCCTCTGGTCTTGACTGTGTTATATTCAGCCTCCAGACCTTGCACCATAACCCTCCTCATCTCTCAGGCACAGGGATAATGTGGGAATATGCCCCTCCACAGAGGCAGAGCTGCCAGGATGCCGTGCCCTTCTCTCTTGCCCCACACCAGTTGTGTATGAGATCCTCGGGGATCTGAGAGAGAACAAAACCATTCTGGAAGTATGACAGCACGAGATATGAAAGCAATAGCGATGGTTTTCTTACCTCTGCAAGACAAAATCTCCCTTCACTACAGAACGTGGTTGTTTTTATGAGACTACTTGTGTTGTTTGTAATGTTTTCAAGGAGCATTCTTGTTGGTACCTCTTTGGAGCCAGAGTCTCAAGGGATTCAGGACAGTTTGATGATTATTTTTTCTTCAGCAGGCTTTTTACTGAAGTATTTAGCTGAGAGATTTTTCTAACAGCAGGATGGCCCTTTGTGCGTGAATAAACAAGCTTTTCCATCA